CCTGGTCCAGATGGTTTTCATGGAAAGTTTTTTAAAAAGTGTTGGGCCATTGTGAACATGGATGTGGTTAGGGCTTTTCAGGAATTTTTTATGGGGGTTTCCATTCCAAAAGGAATGGCTAGTGCTTTACTGGTTCTTATTCCTAAAAATGATAATCCTTCAGCTTTTAATGAATTTAGACCCATCTGTTTGTCTAACTTCATTAATAAAATCTATACTAAGGTGCTAGCTACTAGACTTAAAGTGATTCTTCCTAAGATTATATCTCCAGAACAGGCTGGGTTCATGGCTAATAGAGATGCAGCTGATCAGATTTTATTGGCACAGGAAATGGTGCATTGCATTGGTAAGAAAATCAGGGGAAGCAACTTGATTGTGAAGTTAGATATGGCTAAAGCTTTTGATAGGGTTTCCTGGCAGTTTCTCTCGGATATATTACTCAAATTCGGGTTCTCTTCTCTCTTGGTGAGAATTATTATGAACAATTTACAAGCTACATACCTATATGTTTTAATCAATGGCTCACCTCAAGGTTTTTTAAAACCTACTAGAGGGGTTAAACAAGGAGATCCTCTCTCCCCCTTTCTTTTTATTATAGCTTCAGAAGTTTTTTCTAGAGGACTGAAATGGCTTATGGATGATAATAAGATCAAACCTTATTGGATGGGGAATAAGGGCAAAGTTGTCTCTCATTTAGGTTATGCAGATGACTTATTAGTTTTCCTGAATGGGGATGCCAGATCATTGTTGAGGTTTAAAGACTTTCTTACCGCATATCAGAAGGCATCTATGCAAGCTATCAACTTCGATAAGAGCTCATTCATTTGTGGCAAAATCTCTCCAGCAAGGCAGACAAAAATTAAGGACTTGTTGGGAATGAAGCTGACCTCTCTTCCCATCAAGTACCTTGGTGTTAACCTGCACAGAGGAATAAACAGGTTTGAGTATTGTAGCAATATAATCAGTCAATTTGAAAAGAAGTTATCTCCATGGAAGCAAAAGAATCTTTCTCAAGGGGGGAGGCTCATCTTAATTAAATATGTCTTAAACTCTATCCCCTTACACATTTTGGCAGTTGATAGGCTGCCTAAGAAAGTGATTAAGGTGCTTAATAGTAAAATGGCCTCCTTCTTTTGGGGGCCATCTACTGATAAGAAAAAGTATCATTGGATAAAGTGGGATAATTTTTGCTATCCTACTATAGAAGGGGGATTGGGTATAAGATCATTATCTGACATTGAGAAAGCATTTTCTTTGAAACTATGGTGGAAATGGAAGACGGGAAACTCTCTTTGGGTGCAGATAATGAGGTTAAGGTATGATGCAGGTGGAAGTATGATTCCTAAAATTACAGTCACCTATATGGAAGAGAATTTGTTCTGTTAATGAGCAGGGCATGGATCTTTGTACTATGGATCAGTCAGGGAACTTAATCTGGACTGAAGAGGAGGATGGACAGTTTACTCTAAGATCAGCTTATGAGGAGGTTAGAGAGTTGTCCTTTAGCACAGACATCTATCAACAGATCTGGGATACAAAGTTGGGACTCAAAATCAAGTTGTTTCAGTGGAAAATGATTAAAAAAAAAATCTGCCTACTACTGATAATCTTGTAAGGTTTCAGAAAGTACTACTTCCTTCTAGATGCCCTCTTTGTAAGTGCAGTACGGATACAATGAGGCATCTGTTCTTTAATTGTTCGGTTGTGAAAGGAGTTTGGCAGTATTTTCTAAGCATATTTGGGATTTATCAATCCCTGGGGATGGACTACAGCCTATTATGCTATTGGAAATCAGGTGTGATAAAAAAGAGCATGGTTGATGTTGTTAAGCCAGGAATTTATGGCATAATTTGCTGGATAATTTGGAAATCTTATACAGAGCAGATTTGGGGGAATGGGGGAAATGTCCCTAATACTAACAATTTGATTATACAAGTGAAATTGTATTCTCAAAATTGGGTTTCAAGCATCAATTCCACAAAAATTCGAACTATTGGGGACATGCTATTTTCTGAAGAACTGGTCCCTAAAAATTACAAACTCAGGGGTTTCAAACCTCAAATCATACGATGGACTAAACCTGCTAAGAAATGGAAATTAAACGTGGACGCTAGTTACTTAGCTGACAAAGCAGTTGGTGGGGCGATTATGCGAAACTGGAAAGGTGAGTTTGTGCTGGCGTGTAGCTTCCCGATTCAGGCTACTTCTCCTCTGGATGCTGAGCTCAAGGGCCAAGGCCATCGTTTCCGCTATCAGGTGGGCGACGGAAGAAGGCTATGGTGATTTTCAGGTAGAGACTGACTCCAGGTTGGCGATGGAGTATCTCAATGGAAGGAAAGATGGTCGATGGTCTGTTGATATTCAGGAAACCTTACTCATGGGTTTTAGGCAACAGGCTGAAATCGGACATATCAGAAGGGAGGGTAATTGGGCTGCTCATCATATGGCCCAGACCTGAACGGATATGCTTCTGATCTACACTGAGATGGCCCAGATGCCTATTTTTGCAAAAAGAGCCTTTTGGATGGATTACTTTGGTATTCCTTCTATTAGATTTTAATTTTATTTGATGTTGGTTTATTTTCGGGTTTGGTTTGGTCCCCCGATCTTGTTGTAATTTTTGATTGCTTAATAAAATCTGGTAAATGATCCATGACATTTACCCCACTGATTTTGGTGGTTGACCTTCTGAGATAAAAAAAAGTGTTTAGACTCCGTCAATATTGTTTTTTCCTGTATTTCAGCACGGCAGCACCGTCAATAAAGTACATTCTGCGTATCTTTTTACATATCAATTTAGTAAAACATTAGTTAAATTATTATAAGTAATGTTTTTCTCTTAAATTTTTCCATAAATAATTTTGAAATAAGAACACACATTCTGATGAAAAAAATCATTAGTTTTTTTTTAAAGTTTTTTAGTTAACAAATGATTTCATGTAATATTTGATTACTTTTGGAGGCTTCGTGGACTTAAAATTTGTGTTTTGGATTTTTTTGGGCCCAAGAAAACTTTAATAACCGTAAAAAATACGATTTTGTATGTAAAATTGGTATCATTTGAAAGATCATACGGAGTACAAATTTATAAATTTCGATATGTTATTTTGAAAAAATTGGAGAACAAATAAAAAAGATATATAAATATTTTAAAAAATGGGATATTATGATGCAAGTGTGACGTCATTCGCACAAAAAATAACTTGCAGCCGTCCCTTTCTTTTCCCACTCCTCTCAACTCACCTTCTATATTTAAATTTTAACCCTCTCCACCTTCTTCCCCACTTTTAGACAATTTGTACTTGTGAGGTATTAGGAGTTCAAAAGGCTAAATGTAGAGTTTTTGGACTCATAATTGCGGGTAGTCGGAGTTTTAAATGAGTATTAAGAGTGGGAGAAGGGATGAAGGGGGTTAAATGTAGAAGGTGAGTTGAGAGGAGTGAGAAAATGAACAATGAAACGAAAAAGAAAAGAATGGGACGACATAGTGTTCATTTGCCTGGCGAGCAAAGTGTTTATTATAGGGCAGATAAATCTATCCAAGACGTCCTATCAAATTGTATGATTCACGAGATGAAATTTACTGCATGAATGAGAGCAAATCAAGTATACCCCAAGACCATAAAGTTGACATATGTGGATTTAAAAGATCGAAGATGGGGTCCTGAGGGATGGTGATGATGGAGAATCAATGATTGACATCCCTGAAGAATTTATTGCTCCTATGACGGATGATCCAATTGAAGCTATTGTTAAGATCACCTGTCCCATTTTGAAGTACACCGTAATGGTGTTTCTTATTTGAATTCCGTGACAATTCTTGTGCCAACCATTGATGAACGCGACATGTTCAACGATTACATGTTGGGACTAACTCCATGTGAGGTAAAGACGTACTTAAGCTCAGATCCATCATCTTCTTCTGAATCATACAGTGCACCACTTCAAGAGATCCACTCTCTAGAATTTCTCAATACCATTAAATGCTCTGGTGTGCCAAGTCATGAGCTGAAGCTGAAAGTTGGTGCACTTGATCATTCCTCCATATTGTGTAGTGGAACTCGCCTTATCGTCACTAAACTTGGAATCCATATTCTAGAGGCTCAGATGATGTCTGGAGCAAATGTAGGACACAAATTTCTTATTTCGATGCTTATCTTGACTCCATCTGACCTAAAGCTGTCATTCACATTTTAGCATAGACAGTTCCCTTTGATGCTTATTAGTTGCGCGACGACCATTGATTATAGGGCCAGTCTTTGGAGAGGGTTGGTGTTTTCTTACGTTGTCCGGTTTTCACCTATGGACAACTTTACGTCGTGGTTTCAAGAGTAATGTCCCCGTCTGGGTTGAAGTTTGTTATATTTGATGATGACGGAAAATCGACCAAGAAGACTTTAAATGTGGTTCACAACGAAGTATGTAATAATTTGTAATTTTTTTATCTTCATTTACTTTTGTTAGAAACAATATATACGTTGATCCATATTTATCACAAAATTTATTTATATTCTCAAATTATTTATTACTTACTAGAGCTTATAGTTACACTTTATCATCAAATCTAACTTTACTTGCAATTATTCATATAGTCCAAATTTTCATTTCATTACAACTTCTATTATATAATCAAATTTAATATATATATATATATATATATACACACACATATAAGCTAATGTCTTTTTTATTTAGCAAAATTACATATTATGTACTATCTTAACAAAATATAATTTTAAATAATATGTTGCTTAATTATATTATGGATATACCGTGCATTGTATGTTACTTCATCTAGTTATTACTCATCCACCCCTATAATTGTCCCATTTTTTCATTTTTTGATATCCCGTTATTATTGTCTCATATCATATTTGACAATAGTTCCAATTCATTTGTACTTTATTCCCAATTCATTAACTCATTATCAACCGTATAATTATTCTTTTCTTAAAAATCACATTATTCGCTTTTGTTCCAATATTAGAGAGATGGAGGTAGTATTAAGTAGGTAGATAGAATTTTGAATATAATTTGGTACAGATAATGTGCCACGTCAAATTGGAGTCACCTGGATCTCAAGAATTAAAATTATATCCAAAATTTTCTCGCGCTCAACACAAATCCTAAAGCGTTTTGCCACTGTTTTCTGGACCTTCTCCTATATATAATGAACAACCTCTGGAACCAGAGTTTGCATCGAATTCTGTTGTTTCTTCAATCCTTATCCGTAAGCCTCTCTCTCTCTAGCTCTCTGTCATACACACAGATTAATGTCTTCTTCTGTTTCTTGGTCTCTATGTTTATTTTGCACTACTGCTGTTCTTTTAAGGTACAGATGTGGTGTAGCGGATAAACCCATTCGTGATTATCTTGCATATCTATTTTTTTTAAGTTACCTTGATTAAAAGCTAACAGATCATACTTGAGGTAGAATTTATACTGGAAATGGGCTCATATGCATTACGGAGTACAAAAAACCTCTGCCCGTTTGATTTAATGGTTGATATTGATATTGATTATAGATAAATCGATTTTTTGCTATTGGTTTATGGTATGCGTTAATTTGTACAGTGATCACACAGACCTACGTGATGACTGTGGCTGGGAATTTGTTGGTTCTCCTACTATTGAATGCGATCTTATATATAGGGGTAAAGACCCTTTGCTTTTTCCTTTAATTCCATTTGGAGTCCTTCCATTGATCATGCCCGTGGCCATTTCAGCTAGTTTATCTTTTATGCAGACTGCTGCAGGGCCGCCTACGTGTCCTGCACATCTTCACACTGATTGTGCGAATGCATCAGGTGAATGGGAAGGTGAATTCTTCCCTGGGATTCCCAAGATCAAATATGAGGTGAAATAAATTTATTACCTTGCCTACTCGCTTGTATTACTATAGAACAAATTTAGCTGTTTACCCGGTCTTTAAAACTTTCAGTCTTTGTTAGTCATAAGAGTTTGAACTTTACTGGAATTTAACTGGTCCATGGGAAAGTGATTCCCATGTTTGGTGATACCTTTAAACCCTAGAATGTTTTTTCATATTTCCTGATATCCCCAGGGAGTTTGGAACATGGAAAATGCTAGGAAATGAAATATGATGAGGGAATCAATAAAAAATTGGTACACATCAATAAAATCTATTTTATGTATTTGCTAAGACTCGTTGTAGTTGAAGATAATTATTATCTTATGGTTCTACACTGATAGTTGGACTTCAATCGTTAAGAATTGCAGTAAAACTGTAGAAAACTTGTATTGATGCTTTTCAGTTAAAATCATTCTTATTCTTATTACCTATGAGATTTAGATATATGAAGTATTCAATAGGAATAAAAACAGTATATTTACTGAAAGTGATGAGTACTTTTTTTGTATGAATTTTTTGTTTATGTATGTTTAATGATGTTAAATATGTTGCCCTAAATAAGAGTAAAAACGTTTTCAAAATCCAAAATATGACTTATGTTTTATTCCCTAAATATGTTAATTATTGTCATGTTTTGGCATTCCCATGCTTTAAATATGGCGGTGTTTTAAATATGGAGAATAATTACTCCTATTTTGTAATTCCAAAACGTTTTTACTCCTATTTCAGGAATTTTCCCTTAATGTTATTGCTTGAGTAACCTACACTTTGAAAATTGTATGTAATTTTTATGAACATATCTATTTAATTTTAAGCTGTGAGTTGAGTTTTTATTGATAATAATTGTTTTGATTTTCAATTTATAATAACTATTACAGAGCAATATATTATTTTGTAAAATCTTATGATTTATGTTTCTAGTTTCGACCTGATGATCACTTTTCATTTCATAAATATTATTTTAACATCCTTGATAAAAACTCGGAAGTCTATAATTAAAAAAATAAAGGTTTTGATTGTATCCGATTCTTATTTGTATCTTCCATGGCAAAATCAAACAAAAAAACCCATCTTCCTTACTCCCCCTTGCCTACCATTATCCATGTTCAAAAAGGATCCCTACACTTTCCCTGTGATCACTTTTCTTGGAAATTAATTGAAAGGAAAGTTATACAATGCCAGAATTTGCATCAAATATTGTTTTACGTACTGCGGGCTTGCAATATCAGTTGGTGATTCATGGCTGCTTTGTGCATATGTATTTATTTTTATAGGGTCCTTCTAGCAAGAACCCCCTGTCGTTTAAATGGTACAATGCTAATGAGGAGATTCTGGGGAAAAAGATGATGGTCTGTCAACTATGATCACTTTTTGTGTGTTATTTTAGGTGTTTGAAGTCATATCTTGAATTATTTATTTTTGTTTTGCTTTGTTTTGTTTACGTAGGATTGGTTTAGATTTAGTATCGCCTTTTGGCACACTTTCCGTGGAACTGGTGGTGATCAGTTTGGCTCGGCTACAAAATTTTGGCCATGGGAAGATGGCACTAATTCCCTTGCCATGGCAAAGAGGAGGAGTAAGAATTAAGCAATGGCATTTAACCAAGGCTCTATTTGGTTGAGGAAAATAACTTGTTTGTTTGTCGGTTTCAAAATTTTTTGTCGAAAAATAAGTTGCTTTATGTGTAGTATAAATGATGTGTAACCTACACCAATAGAAGCAAAACTGTTTCACGAAAATGGCTAAACAATAGGTCATTTCCAACAAGTGTTCAATGAATCAAGAACATGTTTTCAGCTGCCAATCACGTGGAATTGTTCCCCAAGAAAGTCCAGAAAACGTTTTCATAAGAAAATATATTTTACTGTAATTAAATGAAATGTTGGATTATCTTTTCGTTGATAGTGATAAATTAACTAGTTGTCTCTATTTAAATGGTTGACTACATCCAGTGAGAGCTAACTTTGAGTTCCTAGAAAAGATTGGAGTGGATAAGTGGTGCTTTCATGATAGAGACATTGCTCCAGATGGTGAAACACTTGAGGTGAGCGCTGCAAGTATTGTCCTAGTTGTCATTTATAATAGTTCTTTGTTAGGATGTTGCTATGACTTGTTTGATTTTATAATTAATATTACATGACTGACAATATGACATTATAATTCACAGGAGTCAAATGCAAATTTGGATGAAGTGGTTGCCCTTGCTAAAGAACTTCAGGTAGTTTTTGAAAATCACTCAAAAGATCACTTAAAATTTCACTGGAAACAGTTCTTTTTTTATAATTTTCAATGTCGAAAAAATAATGAAACTTCGAAACTTTATTGAAATTAGGAACTTCATGCTTCCATTGTTTGAAAACATGTTTCTGATCTCGACACTATTTATTCAATACTGGGATTTTTTATGTTATAATAACATAACATGTTTAACAAAGCATAAACACCATACATATATATACTAAACTAACCAAACATGCTTTATATTTGAAAACCAAAAATTTTTTTTATTACAATAAAACTTAACCAATAACAAATATTTATTTATTATTTTACTCCAATGTCCTCCAAAGGCGTCGCTTTTCAAGTAAGCCAAAAACATGTAAATTTACTATTTATGATACATGACAAAATATTCACCAAATTTCCATCGTTTTCAATGGAGCCAAAGATTCACTATTTTTTGGCTTGGGAATATGATGGAATAAAGCAAAATGGCTTACTAAACTGTCTGCGCTTCTTTGTTATGAAGTAATAGTCAGTCTATGCAATTTTCGACTCGATTTTCACTATGGGTCATTCGGAAACAGTCTCTCCCTGCTTTAGTACAGGGGTAAGACTGCGTACATCCGACCCCCCCTACCCCACCGTAGGTGGGAGCCTTTGCAGCACTGGGGTAATGATGATGATGAATGATGATGATGATGACGACAAAATATTCACCACGCCATATCATTCATGGAAAGAAGCTGTTGGAGAATAATACATAGCAGATTCATACTTTTGATTATTCTTGCTGTTTCATTCTATTTTATTCATTAAGTTATGCACAAGTATATGCATATTCTCTCCTATTACATCATTTCCTCTAGTATAACTCAAGTTTCTCGAAACTTCATAGGGTTCAAAGATCCGACCTTTGTGGGGTACTGCTCAGTTGTTTGTGCATCCACGATATATGCATGGTGCTGCAACTAGGTTTGTTATGCCTTGTTTGAACTTATAATCTGACTGTCGTGTATTATTTTAAGAATTTCAGTCTCAATGTTTCTGGTTTGTAAATGTGCAGTTCTGAATTAGGAGTGTATGCATATGCTGCAGCCCAAGTCAAGAAAGCTATGGAGGTTTTACTGCCACTCCCCGTCTCCTGTATTAATATATAATGTAATTAATCAAGATGTTATGTATGATTATGTAAGATTTACTCTTTATGTGAATTTCAGGTTACACATTATCTTGGTGGTGAGAACTATGTATTCTGGGGTGGTCGAGAGGGTTATCAGAGTCTTTTGAACACAGATATGCAAAGAGAGCTAAATCACTTGGTAGGCCGAGCAATTAAATTTGGAAGTTGCATACAAATATTCCCTTTATCTGTCCCATAAAAATATAAAGCGCCACCTTTGAGAAGTCCTTTTTTTTCATAAGAGTTGCTCCAGAATTTTTATTTTCCCGATAAAGGGCCCAAATGAGGATAACTTTTCATTTAATATTCCAAAATGGAGTAGGAAACTAGTATAATATGATAAATTTAGTCAAACTATAAAATTGTAAAGTTTAATATTACTTGAAGGGGAGCCCTGGCGCACCGATTAATTTGTGTGATGGAGAAGTCACAGGTTCAAGTTTTGAAAGCGAACTCTTGTCAAAATGACAAGGGAAGACTTGCTCCTTATACACTCTTGTTGTGAGACCCTTGCACAGAACCTTTCCTTGCGGGGTTGCAAATGTGTACTGGGCTGACCCTATGATTTATCACTTATAAAAAGATTTACCTTTGTCAAACATAGACTCCTTTTATGAATGGTTTTTCATAAATCTCCCTAATTATGTTGTATTCCCTAAATAGGAGTAATTATTGCCATGCATTGAAAATATTGTCAATTATGGCATGCCATATTTAACATTTTAAAGCCTTGTAATTCCAAAACATTATAGCAAATTTGTGGTCAGTAACGTACTCCTATTTAGGTGGGGGATATTGTACTCCTATTTTGAAATTTTACATTGTTTTGTCTCATATTTAAGGAATTTTCCCCTGTTTTATTAATTGAGCATTAATTAATGGTTTTATGAATTATTTATTCCATCTGTTGTGAGACTTTGTGGAAGGCTAGGTTCATGGAAGCATCAGTTTCTTATAAGAAAAAGATTTGATTTAATGGTATTTCCGCTCCCTTTTGACAGGCTATGTTCATGGAAGCAGCAGTTTCTTATAAGAAAAAGATTGGATTTAATGGTATTTTCGCTCCCTTAAATCTCTGCTCATTGTAATAATTATAATAAAAATTGTAGTAATAATAATAACAACAATAATAGGTGGGTTTCATGAATTGGGCTTCATTACTCTTACCTTTTTTGTAATTTCTGTTGCAGGAACATTGCTCATTGAGCCTAAGCCTCAGGAACCTACAAAACATCAGTATGTGTGGATCTAAGATTCCTAAATGTGTGAGTTCTGAGTGGGTATCTTTCCTAAGTTATAAATATATGGTGATCCTCACAGGTATGACTGGGATGCTGCTACTTCTGCTAATTTCTTACGGAAATATAGCCTTATAGGTACCTGATCTACCCATCTACCTACCTTCCTACCTATCTTGTCATTTAAATAGATAAACGATAAAGATGTTGAATGTCGGGCGCACATTCGTATGAACGATTGATCTTTTTTCTATCTTTCCACTCTCTTTTTCTTTTATTGTTTATCTTCTTTATCTTTTTATGTTCTTATGTTATTTTTTATCTTCTAGTTTTTTTATGCTCTTTTATCTTTTTATCTTTTATCTTTCTTATGTTCTTATGTTATTGTTATCTTATATTTATTTATCTTTACCTTGTCCGTTTTATCTTACTTTTTTTCTTGTCTTTCTTCTCCTTTTGACATTGATATCATGAATCGATTCATGTTGCCCGACCCCAAAATATTTTGGGATTAAGGCTTGGATGTTGTTGTTGTTGTTGTTGTCAACTCTTGTTTTTCTTTCAAGATAGAAGCTTATAAGGTACCTCATTAATGCGGTGGCATTTATGAAAAGACCGTGATCTAGAAAATGGCTTTCATCTGCACCAGCACTCACTTGAGCCCATGCTTAATACTCTCTATCAAACTGATAGATGGGATGAATTACACAATTTGTTATTTAATGTTGTTCTTTGGGTGGGATGGGTTCAGATGAGTTCAAATTGAATATTGAATGCAACCACGCCACTTTGTCTGGACACAGGTATGTTTGTGCCTGCTATCTTTACTTAATCGTGTGCACTGATTTTTACAAGCTTCTTGATCCTCCTCCGCCTTTTGATCACCAGTCATATTTTGTTCTTGTTGTTGTTGTGGTATGTGCCTATCAGTTGTCATCATGAAGTTGAGACAGCAAGAATTAATGGGTTGCTTGGAAATATTGATGCAAACAGTGGTGATCCACAAACTGGTACTTGAGGACCAAACCAACACACTCTCTATATGCTCCCCTCTGATATTTTTGCCACTCCTTCCTTGCTTCCTTAGTAACTTTTTACGGCATTTGCATTGCAGGTTGGGACACCGACCAGTTTCTGATGGATGTGCCAGAAGCAACCCTAATTATGCTCTCAGTTATCAAGAATGTATGATATCTGAAATTTGTAATGCATCATGTGTTTCCTGTTGCCTTTTATTTATTTATTTATTTATTTATTTTGCACAAACCTCAGGGGGGCATAGCACCAGGAGGATTCAACTTCGATGCTAAGTTGTTAGTTCCACTATTTCCTTTTATAATGAATGTTGTACTAGTTTTCCTATGTTATTCTTTCTTCTAAAGTCACAGCTTTACTATATATATGTGTGTGTGTGTGTGTGTGTGTGAAGAGCATCAGATGTTTTTTTGCTGTGGGTTTGTATGTGTGATAGGCGAAGGGAGAGCACGGATGTAGAAGATTTATTCATTGCTCATATTGCGGGTATGGATACCCTGGCTCGTGGCCTCCGAAGTGCTGCAAAGCTGATTCAGGTAAGATCATCATGTGGCAGCCCTTATGCCCCCTTTGCTATCTCTTTTAGTACTTAGATGATATCAATACAGGACTGAATGTGCTTTATCAAATTATTATTATTATTATCATTAAAAGGCTCCAAATTGTATTAACAGGATGGTTCTCTGAATGAACTTGTTCGCAAGAGATACCAGAGTTTTGATACTGAGGTTGGCCAAGCCATTGAGGTACTCTTATATAGCCTTAATCCTTGTATCCAAGTTTTCTACTTTTTATTATCCCACTCATGTGGTCAATTTACATACAAGTGACCTGAAAGGACCACAGGTGGAAAGAAATCCCCTTAGTTGGGGACCAAAGTTTAGAATGACTAAATAGTTATGGGATTTCAAAAAGAAATTTGTTATCTTCTGCCCTGTAATGCCCAAATTGCATTTTTGTGTTGGGCTTTGATTTTTATAGGCTGGAAAGGCTGATTTTGAGATGCTGGAGAAGAAAGCTTTTGAATGGGGTGAACCCAAAGTTGTTTCTGCTAAACAGGTAAAGATGTTAATAACGTGTATCGGTTTTTCTTATTGACACTTGAGGAATGACAACCTAATTGGGTGAGGGTCTTATTTATTTACTCCATCTGTCCCTAACACTTTGTAAATTTTCCCTTTTTTGTTATCCCACTAACTTTGTCACCTCGCTAAGGAATTTGTGTTTCTAGTTAACTCTCTCTCGTCTACACAAATTTCAATAACATAATTTTACTTTATTAATGACCGCGTCCGTCAAACTTGGCTAAGTTTTAAGGGACAGGGGAGTATATTATTACACGAATGAACGAATGAACAAACCTACTTTGCAGGAACGTGCTGAGATGATTCTCCAAAGCGCACTCTAATCGTCTGAAGATCGAAGACAAATTGTGTACACCAAGTCGTAGAGAAAAATTACTTTTTTTTAGCTTTTAACAGTGACGATGAAGTTATTTCTTCTTTTGTTTATATATGCCAATTAGCCAGTTGTGGTTGACCGTGTCTATGATATGATGTTTTTACTTTGAAATTTTTTCCATTTTATTTAGGATGATTTTAGTCTGGAAGTTCTATTCACAGCCCCAAAATAACACAAATCCCTAAACTATCCTTATCGTTACAAGATCACTTAAGTGATCGATCGATGCTGAAAGCAAGAGCAACCATCAAAGGTGGCACAAATTAGCTACAAGCACCGAACAAGCACCACTCAATCGTCGATTACAAGTTCTGCAAAGCCTTTATTAGATCTAGTTATGCTTCTCCGATTGACCTCCTACATCAAATCGCCCTAATATTAATACCATGTTAATCGACCTCCGTTCTGCACCACTCTTTTTTTTTTGAAGTCTGAAGAATAAAAAAGAGCAAGTTATTTTTCTTTTTTGGTCAATTGACATCCCTTGGCTGAGTTAAATTGGATGTTTGGTATCAATTGGACGATTGACATCCCTTGGCTGAGTTAAATTTACACTGCTAGTTCAATTCCAATTCGGATTTTGACAATATAATCCCAACTCAAACCTTTTCAAAATTGTAGGTCTCTAGCTTTTGTGGAAATTCAGAACTTTCATCCTGACTAAATTGCATAACAGATTTCCGGGCAGCTAGAGTATATGCACGACCATGGAAAAGAGATAGAGGTAGAGGATTAGAGAAAGGAGTACAAACAGGGGAAGATGTGGGTATTTGATAAGATGGGAATGGTGTAAGTGACTCTCAAATACTTCGCCGGTACTGATGTGCCTCTGGTTGATGGCTTGCCGGAGAAATTGAATGAGAATCTAACTTCAACTTTTCCTCATTCTCAAAACTTCTGATAGCAAGTAAATGTGGATATGAGCATATACTCCGTATGACTTAACTCAGGCGGTTATACACTTTCAGCACCGATGGATCACTTAAGTCTCAAATGATGGTAACGATAAGGCTAGTTTAGGGATTTGTGTTATTTGGGGGCTGTGGATAGTAATACGGGGCTGTGAATAGAATTGCCCTTTCTATACGCAGCCCATAATTTACTATCCACAACCACAAAATTAATTCAATTGTCTAAATTACCCTTAATCATTAATACAACAAGATAACAGGCCCCTTACATTCTTTAACTCATCGCACCTAATACTACGAGGAAGAAACTAGTTGCCGCTATTTCCTTCCATTCTCATGGTGTCAACTACTGAATTGCCACAAGAAGACGTACGTGCATAGCAAATAATTGAAGCAAAAAAAGAAGATCTAAATAGAATTCCAGAAGAAATCTATCTGAAATAGCCATTCTATTTGTTCTACTAGGCCAACGGCCAGCCTCTAAAACATCTTTAATGAAAATATCATTAGCGTAATTTTCCTTCCATTGGACAAATTACATGTTTGTAATATTTAAGTGTTAAAACTATTAGAAAGAACGAATCGGGCATCGTTTATTTGTTGGCTATTTCGCCGCTGGCAATTGCTTATTGCTATACCCACTGAATCCACGATCTGTGGTGTTTCAACAATTCACTTGTTGGCTGGACAAAGAGATGGAGATCGTCAGATAGATGTTTCCCTTCGGCTTCTTCATCTTTGTGGAAGGCTCATACACAAGCTACAGGGCGTCTGAGTTGGAGTTTTAAAAATACTCAGGTTGCGTTTAGTAAAGGGCATACCAGGGATTATCAAAACATGTGTGTGTGATTAGTAAATATGGGGCTGCATATAGACTTACCCTTATGTATATTTTATAATTATCCAAGTCCGATCTGGTCCAAAACTGAAAACAATTCAAGTAAAAACATCCTTTTTTAAGAAAGAAAAAACATCCTTAATCATCATGTAATTATTATTATTCAAAATCCAAATGAGATTCTTGTTGTAAATATTGAAATATTGTTACAAAAATGTGAAATTCTTGATTCTAACATTTATTTGAAATTGGAAAGGTATAGTTCTCACAAGACCCTAACAATACTATTTGTTTAAAAATAATTCTCAAAATAATGATGGAATAGGTCATGATTAACAAAACCGCCACCTAATAAAAATCCCCTTTTTATTTTAAACTGCTGTAACTTTTTTATTCGTGCTCGGGCCGTTACAAAAAAATATCAAACTTCATGATTTTTTATTATCTTTCATATGACATCAATATTGCATATATAAAAATAAAAAAATAATTTGGCACTTTAAAAAGTGTCTTTCATATATAAAAATGAAATTTATTGTTTCATTCTCTTTTTATGACTACATAAATCATATTTTGGAATAAAGCATAGTTATACTACATACTCCGTATGTATTTTATCATGTTCACGTCTTACTCCTACTTGATCAATTTCTTAAAATAACTGTTTCAGACTGCTTTCACAACGAAGAAGGATTATGGACGAGGGGCGAAAGAGAGACTCAATGGGTAATAACTCAACGAACATTGCAGTATTGCATGGTCTTCAGCACCTAAACACATCTCACCTCTTTAATGAAAACAAAACCTATAGAGAGTCGTCTCAAAAACATTTTTTAAAATATTAATTATTTTTTCATTTTTATATATGCAATATTGGTTTCGTATGAAATGTAATAAAAATCATGAAGTTTGATACGGAGTATTTTTTGTAACGATCGGAATTAAAATAAAAAGTTACAACACTTTAAAAAACATTTTTTTAATTGCTAATTTTTTATTTTTATTTTTTATATGCAATATTTGTGTCATATGAAAGATAATAAAAAGTTATAGATTTTGATATATTTTTGGTAACAATCCGAGCACAAATAAAAAAGTCACATCAGTTTAAAATAAAGAGGCGATTTTTATTAGGTGGGCCCCATTTTTCAATTCCACCTTTTGATTGTGCGTGATTCTTGCATTGATCGTATGCGTGAGCCGCGACTTCAAGTGGCGGTTTTATTAACCATGGTCTATTCCAGCATTATTTTGGGAATTATTTATAACCCAACAGTATTTTGGAAATTATTTATTTAATTAGCCTTATTCCGGGAAAAAACTCCTATTGAGAATCCATTTTAAAATAATTTCAAATTTTCATTTAACTCAATTTGAACGTATATATGGTGTCTTTTTGCAATTTTTAAAACTCAGACGGATTGTTTTGTAATCATTATTCTAAAAATGTCACTTTGTTAACTGACATATACCACGGAGGTATCGATAAAATTAAGATCTTCGGAATTCAGTAAGGCAACTCCAGCCAAGACTGAGCTCGCTGAGGCCGAACTCAAAATCGATTCTCAGATCATCAAGATAAGTTCAAGATTGCAGCTGAGGTTGAGGTTGACCCACCCGAGGCTGACGACGGTTCCAGTAATACAACTGAGCTCCAAGCTAACCACTATATGAACTCAAAGATTAATGAATGTATTACTACTTCACATTGTGAGTCGAGGTTCCCCACCTCTTATCTAAACACATTACGTTCGAGTTTGACGTCTACGACCGAGCTCAAGTCCTCAGATAGAGATTGTGGATTTAGACATTTTAGCACTAAGATATCACAACATTTAGCACTTGCAAGGACAAATGTTGGTACAACAGTACCAATCAATCATATATTATCTTTCGAATTATCTTTACACTTGTCACTAGATTAATAGGGCTGTTATTTTAGTTGTTCCCCGATTATTTCCTTGTACGCTATAAACATCACCTTCTAACTTGTGGAAGGAAATCACATCCTTTATTCTCAAGCTTACTGTTAGTCTGCCAAATTCTTACTCGATCTATACTTTGTATTTCTCTGACTCTCCCTCGACTCTCGATGAAACTCTGAGGTGCAAACTGGGGTTCACCGAGCTGAGACGTTCACTATTAGTGCCAATAACGGCCACAACAGCAACGCCCCCAACAACAGTGAGGGAGAGGACTCCGGAGCACTTTTGATCCCCCCCCCCCCCACGCCAACAACAACAAAACTCTCCCCACGGAGACAACAAAATTCTCCTCTGTGACAGCATCAGAACTCCCCACCTCAGCACCAGCACCAGGTGGACCCGCGAGAGGAGCATATCCGCGCTCTCACCCTCCAAGTGACGAGCTATGAGCAATGGCAGCAGCGGTACCACTGCCACCCTCCTCCTCCAATCGAGAATCCTCCTCAACTGCAGACTTTTGCACGCCAAGTGTAGCAACTCCATAAATAGGTGATACATATGCATATAAGGGCATAGTCTACACCACCTCAATCACAAGACAATACCCATAATATATACTTGTAAAATACCCGACCCGCAGCTAATTTGTTTTAATAAAAACAATTATAAGGATGCAGTCCTCGGACTCTCACCCCTTCCCTTAAAATAATCCCCAAATATATAGTGTGCAGGCTCTGATTGTGCTATATCCGTATCCACTGTTCCAAAAAAACGGCCTAGTCGGTCCTAACTGTAGAGGCCTAATCGATCGGTCTAGTTGGTCAAAAATCGCCCTGGCCGGCCAAAAAATCGGCCTAGTCGACCGCCTAGGGGCTAGGCGCCCCTCAACCGTCCGACTAGCGCCTAGCGAGTTTTAGAACAATGTCCGTACCTATTGAGTGTTATACTGAGTCACCCCGGCCATGGGTTACCCTTCCATACCCATACAAGTTAAATTGGACATTCTTGGTCCTGGGTTTGACTAGTCCACACTAGAAATATTAAGTTGGACGTTCCTGGTCCCCGGTTTGACTATCCCATACTAGAAATATTATGTTGGACGTTCCTAGTCCTGGGTTTGACTAGCCCATACTATAAATATTTTGTTGGACTTTCCTGGTCCTGGACTTGACTAGCCCATACTAAAATATTATGTTGGACATTCTTGATCCTAGATTTGACTAGCCCATACTAGAAATATTATGATGGGCCAAAGTTAATTCTATCAACATAATTACATTCATTTTGAGAGTTATACAATTCTTAAGAAGACATAAAGTTCAAATTATGAATGTAAGAGAAGGTTTTGAATCTCACATGAACTTTGCACATTTGTGTTTCCTCCTCCTTGAAGCTTGAGCTTCGATTCAACTGTCTTTTCAAGCTTCGAACGAGTGAAAAGGATGAAGAGGAAAAGATGTTGTCGTAGAAGAATGTTTTTGTATCTTTCTCGTGTCTATTGTGCAAAAAAAGAGTAGGTCTAGGTTTTGTACGTTTTTAGCTCCTTAGCCTTTAATAGGTCTAGTAAATAGGCTTTGGATCCCTTGCCCCCTTTATTTGCCCAAACTTCCAATTTATATCTATTCAAATTAAAGGTACTTTCATTGGTCCAAAGTCCGAACTAAATTAATTCTCCCGACATAAATATTATATTGTCTTTAATAAATATAATATATGGTCCCATAATATACTAGGCAGTCTGTCACGCCCCGGACCTTCCCGGACACGTCAACAACCCGCCGTACAGTACGAATAGTCAATCGTAGTCCAACTCATCCATACTATACAAGGCGTCTTGAATACCATTCACATTAGTACATCCATAAACAAACATAATGTAAAATATTCATTTAAAGCAGCGGAAACATTAAATACAAGCGTTCATGCCACACCTTGACAAACATGGGCATACAAGCCCCCAAATAAATATTTAAAAAATAATATCCATGAGCATTATTTAAATTGTTTTCAAAACAGAAACAGGAGAAGCACGAACCCCGCCTTCCTCCTTGAATTCCCCGAAGCAACAAGCGGTAGTAGCAAGCTCTACTCCCTACCTGAAACTGTGAGGTGGCCTCCCCCGTGAAGGGGAGGTCAGTACTTGGAAGCATTTGACAAGTACAATGACAACTATACTAAGTATAATCAAAGTTTCAATTTCCAAGACCCTCAATCCAAGATGTTACTCATTTATAATTAACTCATGTTCTCCATGCTAGAGCTCGGCTCGTAGTCATATCAATTTGTGCTAGAGCTCGGCTCATAGTCACCTTACATTTGCTAGAGCTCGGCTCATAGTCATACTAATTTGTGCTAGAGCTCGGCTCATAGTCACCCTACGTTTGCTAGAGCTCGGCTCATAGTCATACTAATTTGTGCTAGAGCTCGGCTCATAGTCACCCTACGTTTGCTAGAGCTCGGCTCATAGTCATACTAATTTGTGCTAGAGCTCGGCTCATAGTCACCCTACGTTTGCTAGAGCTCGGCTCATAGTCATACTAATTTGTGCTAGAGCTCGGCTCATAGTCACCCTACGTTTGCTAGAGCTCGGCTCATAGTCATACTACCACGTGCTAGAGCTCGGCTCATAGTCACGTCACTAATCCCTAAACCACTTCTTAGTCTAGGTTCCATCCATTTCGAGTAACCCTTAAGGCTTACTCCAAAAGTAACTTGAGTTCATAAAGTCTACCTTAAACATATCCTTTAAGGTTACTCAATTCCAAAATCTTGGGATTAGCTCCCAAAAACTATTGAACTAACATTCCCGACTAGTATTCCTATACTAGTCATTTAATCTTAATAACCCAATGCATATTCATAATAATTTGAATATTTCAATTTGATTCCACATTCAAGTATATCTTGGCTTTAATATCAAAATATCACTTTTATCCTTCCATGACTTCCTTACATGAGGTAAAAGTATATTTATCACAATTTAATTTATAGTTTACACAACTACTATACCATTGTATTCACAACACATAATCATACACAATTTATTCATAAATTTGTATATCATGCATTTTTGCTTATAAACAATAATAATCTCATTTAGGCATTTTTATTAAAA